TCACGGTCCCCCCGCCGCCGCCGTCCCTGCTCAGGGAAAGCGGCGCCGCCTCTCCCGTCCTTCCCCCCCCCAGGGGGAAGGGGGGCCGTGAACAGTCCCACGCCCGGTCCGTGAGCCGGCGGGCGGGCTGAGGTCTGCGGGCCTGGCCCTCGCAGGGGCCCCGGGGTGGCTCTCGAAGTCAAACGCACACGTGGAAAAGGCATCTCCTCTTTAGCCTCCGGAAAACCACAGGCGTCCTTCTTGCAGAGGAGACCCGGCGGCAGGAGGAGGGGCGCTGCCTCTAGGGGAAAGCAGGCGGCTGCCCGTAAAAGGCGGGCGGGCGGGCGGGCGGTAGGTGTCCAGCGGGGAAAGGGGGCTGAGGAGGCTGGCGTCTGTCAAGTCTGGTGGTCTCCAGGCACAGCTCTGCGTCCATGGTGGTTCTGAGCGTTCCCAGGAGCACCAAGTCTCCCCTCCCGTCCGTGGGCCGGGTCCTCTGAAGCTTTGCCCTCCCCTTTGCAGGGAGGCCATCAGTAGAGGCTGTTGTAGGGGTGCCAACACAGTCAGTATGCAGGCAGACACTCTGGCATCGCATCCACACACACCATACTGGCTGCACTTCTAGGAGGCAATTGCTGCAGCTGCCATCGGCTGGACATCATTTAAGTAGGTCCTAATCCTAAAGAACTGTTACTCCAGATAACCTTTAAGGGATGCTCCAGAACTATATGATATCTTCATAAAATCATAGGCACCTAAGTCTTGCTTGCTTGCTTTAACATCCCCCCTGCACACTTTGAGTCCATGCAATAATGAGGCCCCATATCCCCATTCGGAATCTATCCCCTCCCTATTGTTGGCACCTTTTGCTAGTGATCCATCTTTAGAAACCCATAAAAGAAAAGAAAAATGTTCTCGTGGGATTAACATTGATATTGTAGTTAAATTAGCGGGCCCCCATGTTCAGTACAGGAGAGGGGCCGTGGCTCAGTGGGCATCTGCTTGGCATGCAGGAGGTCCCAAGTTCAACCCCAGTACCTCTCCAGGCAAAGAGGAACACTGGCGGTGGGTGACGGGAAGGACCTTCTCTGCCTGAGACCCTGGAGAGCGGCTGCCAGTCTGAGTGGACACTCCTGACTGTGATGGACCAAGGAGGGTCTGAGTCAGTAGGAGGCAGCTTCAGGTGTTCCTGTGTTCGACAGGCTCGTCCTTGGCATTTGCGCTGGCTCATTGGACAGCCACAGTCAATCGCGTTGGTTGCAGAAATATTTGGAAGCTGTGTGTTGGCATCTCTCCTGGAAAAGGGAGCCGATATCTCTCTTACTATGGAGTGTTTTGAAGAGAAATCCATTTTGGCTCTAATGTTATATTGTGCTGTAGGAAGTTGTCACTGAGAAAACGTAACTGGACTGTCTTGCACATTTCCTTCCTGTCTGTCTCTCTCCACCCCTTTAATCTTATCCATCCTGGGTTTCTTTTTTAGTCTCCTTGAACTTGGACTATAGACAAAACCCACATTCCCTTCCACTTGATGCTGGTTTGTGCTTCAAGCAGTAGTGTAACTAGGTGGAATGACAGAGACATCTTCCCTGGTTGCAATCTGGATATGAGACAAGATGAGTCCCAACAGTCATGTTTTCAGTGATATTGTAAAACTCTACTTAGTTTGCCATAGTTACTGGGGGGGGGGGGTTCCCTGGGGGTGTGTGCATGACTCTGTGTGTGTGTGTGTGTGTGTGTGTGTGTGTGTGTGAACTGCTCTATCTTAGGTGCCGTAACTCCTCCTTAAGATGACTTCTTCCTAGAGGGACGTCCTTGAGACCGAAGCTGTGCCAGCTTGCTGTTGTAGATAACGGGATCATATGTTACCCAAAGTGGTTGTGAGGGTCTCCTGGTTTGTTGGGGAATTAGCTAGGAAACCCAAACAATGTGAGAGGGGGTAATCAGGCAGGATCTCCACCGATGTTTACAGGGATTTTTCCCTCAGTAGGACTCTCAAAATGAACCAGGCTGTGATTAATGAAATGGTTTTTATTAAAGAGAATTAAAGAATAAAATCAAAACTTATTAATTGAAAAACATGATATGAACACACATACAAGTTCAGAAAATAAAGGTGGTAGATTACAGAGACAAAGAAGGGAACTTATTCTATGGGACTATATTTACATATCTAGGGAACAAAGATCCGAGAAGGAAGACGAGCGAAACGAACCAGCGTCTCACTCTAAGCCGGGTGGCCAACCTTTTCGGTGGGGGTGTAGGTTAGTGGACGTCCAGATATACCCACACATTACTGAAAAAAGCATGTCTGGTTATACCCCTTGGAGCGTGACGTGATTGCTCCTAGAACAGTGCTGTGATGGTGTGAATGAAACAATGTTGTCTTAGCCAGGAAGCATCACGTTCCCAGGAGTTGCAAGGGCAATGTAACGTTTATGTGAAATGTCTGTCGTGTTTGGTGACCTCTAATTGCTTGGACGTGACAACTATCACAGAAACGATTATGGCATAAAAAGGTTTTTTACTTAGGATGGCCAGGTAGGGGAAGGTCAGGCAAGGTAGAGAGTTGGTTAGATTTACTGTCCTTTTCTGAGAAAGTCAATCTTTGACACTGATGGATTAAAAGAGGGAAGAGAACTGCCAAAACCCAGACCTTTGCACCTTTAGGATCAGTTCTTCAGACATGCCTCTGGTCAATATTCAATGACACACATTCCACCTGACGGTAGGATCTATTTTGATCTCGTATTTGCAGACCAGAGATGGGTCTTGAATGATTGACCCTGTGAGATGCTAAGAGAGGGAAGGTTGCTTGCGTCACCTGTTTATAGGTACCAAGCTCATCCTTCCAAACCAGGAAGGGGGTCAAGGCCTAACAGGGTACTGAACACAAGACCTAGGCGGGATGGCTGCGATGTGTAATTGGCTATTTCCCAGGGGGCCCCATTTGAACTTTCTATAACTTTGGACTTTCCTGCCAGAATCTCAGTTCTGACAGAGTACTGTTCTAACCTGGATCATGATGATATCTCACTAAAGAAATCACTGCCAAAGAGAGTGTTGTTGGGAGTCTCTTGATCAGGAGTCTGACATAGTGTCAGAACTCCCTTTCTCCCTTCGGCCGTTGCAGCACTGTTAGCCTGCTGACGCTTTATATGGCTTACTGGATGGAAGACAGGTGCCCAACCAAGGGAAACCTTGTACTGAAGCAGCATGTTAGACCAGGCATGGACCCATGGAACACCCAATGCCACCCATCCCTGCATCCCCAAGGACACTGCAGACCCAGGTAGATGGCAAGCCAGCCTCCCTGATCCTGCTCACACAGAGATCCAGCAGCAGTTCCAGAAGAGAAGCCATCCTCAGCAAAAAGAACCAGGAATATTCCTGCCCAGACCCCATGAAAAGCTCTCTTCTCCAGCATGCAGGCATCCCCCCACACACACACACACCTCTTGCATATTGATATCCCCAGGTGAAGCACGTATGCAGCCTCAACCTAAACAAAAGAAGCTTCTTCCATGATAGGGTTAGGAAACAAGTCCGTCTGCCAGCTACCCATTCTGATGATGGCAGTGTTTAAACAATCTGGTTGTTGAATCAACTACTGACAATGCTGCCAGACTGTTAATCCATTCTCTCCTTTAATCTACCTTTCTCTCCGAGAGATGTCACTATTAGAGAAACAGTATTTCTGTTGCCCAACCATTAATCCCATTCTCATGACCCATCTGGATTTTTCCAGTATTTCCTGAAGGACTATGTGACAGAGCAGACATCTGCCTCTAGTCATATCTAGGGTATAAAAGGAGAGAGAGAGAGCCACCCCATCTCTCTCTGCTTCTTCTTCCCCCACCTTGCCCTGCCTCATAAGTTCCATCCTAGTGCTGTTTGGAACCTTCCATGTGGCTCTGCCGGTCAGAACACGATCCCTTCCCTTAGTGTCATTCTATTTTTTGCTGCAGATTCTACTCACTGTGTCTGGACAGGTACGTTCAGTTTCAGAAACCTTTAATGACATAAAATGTAATAAGATACAGAATAGTCTTACATAAATAAAAACAAGATAGGAGTAATACAGTACAGGTAAGACAATAAAACAGTGTTAAAGAATAACAACACAAGAGAGCAAAATTAATCAAGTATTCTCTGCCTTAGCCTTAGAAACATGGTTACCCTTATTCAACACAATAACCAAATACTCAGCCACAAGTTCTGAAAAGTACTCAGAACGTGGAGTGATTTCTGCACGAGTACTTTTATTAGTGAAGAACAAAGACAAGGAAACCAGCTCGCAGGCTGGTTTATATGCGTTCAGAAAACCCGCCACCAAGCGCACCTAAACACACTCCCGATAGGCTATTTACAGTAACCGGGCGACCATTGGTCTCCCGGCTGGGAAGCTGGCCCTCTGATTGGGCCGGCTAGGATCCCTCGGATCCTTTGTCTTTCGACTGAAGCTACGGAGGAATATTGCCTGGCCAGCCCGGGCAAGTCCGGGCATGTCAGGCTGACTGCATTACACGTGGTAATGGCGGCAGTACATTACAAGTTCCATCAATTTGATGGATTTATCAGCAGGTAAATATTGAGTAATTCTCTCTGGGGGGCCAGAGAGGTTGGAAATAACAGGATTAAGGTTGACGAACCTTACAATGCATGGGACACTGAAGTAAAATATGGGAAATTGAATCAGGTTCCAGTAAACAGTAGTTACATAGTCTGTTCTAAAAAGGTATATTATGATATCTACTTGAAAGAACAGTTGAAGGGAAAACATTCAATCTCGTGAGCATAAAGGCCCGAAGCTGTTGAGGATTAATAAGATTTTGCATGTAAGCAGCTCCTAGCCCTGGGGTGAACAGCAGGCCATGAAAACACAGAGAGCAAATCATGTTGGTTCCCGCAGCAAAGGTTTGATTCTCTATATCCCAGATTCTCTGACGGATAATGCGAAACCATTGGTTCTCATCACAGTTAGTTAGGGACTCCAAGTTGCTACCAATAGAGTCAGTTTTGGACCTAATATGTTGATACCATTTAGAGATATAGGAGTCCCTTAATAAATCATATAGCAGAGTGTTAGGACAAGCCCAGAATTGAAAACGCGACCAGTATTTAATAGTAATCATCCAGGCAATAGTTGAAGGCAGGTGGAGACCAAGTTCACTAGAAATAGTAGAAAGTCTATTCATATTTGGTACAGCATAAGAAAATAGCTGCAATATGATCCACTTCAGTATTGACTGCCAAAGTCCAAACTGGAATCC